AAGTCATCACACCTCCAGAAGCCGGGGTGAACTGTAACCATGGGCGAGGGGCCACCGGCCAAACGGGAGCGGTGGCTGCAGGTAATGGAATGTGATCTCTGCCCAATAACAGCCCAGAGGGTTGCAGGAACAAATATCTTAACCTCTCTCCCCTTCCACTTTGGACAGTCTGCCAGTGCCTTCCATTGGCTGAGTCCAACCGACCGTCAGAGGGCAAGGGAGCCAGGGTATTATGACTCAAGACTCGCAGAGGTCAGACCCCTGCGCAAGAGTGGAGGGCAGAGAATGATTTGGAGGAAAAAACAGGAAGTACCAAGCCAACGGAGTAGGGAGTTATAATGTTAATGGGGATAGAGTTTCCAGATAACGTGCAGTTTAACCCGTTCAACTTGAATTTCAGATAAACAACAAATATGGGCTTAGTCTAAGTATGTTTAGTACAAGTATGGTATGTGCTAAGGACACCAAACCCATAATCATTGTTTATCTGAAATTCGAAACAGTGTCCTGTATTTTCATTTGCTAAACCTGGAAACGCTAGATGGAGCGCCCCTAAAGGAATTTGAAGCAAAGGAGTAACATAGTCTAATTTAGGATTTAGTAAATACATTTATTTGTAAAATCAAGAGACTTTTAGATTACCATCAATAAGTTCAGAGGATGCAGGGGCATATATAAATAAGTTCCAGGAACATTTACATACATTCATGATGTGACATCTTCACCAGTCATCCCCAGGGGCAGCTGCTGGCCTCGGTGACTGTCGTGTCTTCGCTGGAGCCGGGCATGAAGGTGGTGAACCCTCCTTACCTCCTGGGCTGTGAAGAAGGAAGCTGCAATGGTGTGCCGCAGGCGGCGGGCATAGGTCTCTAGGAGGACTGTGAAACAAGCCACGAGCTGCAGGACCCCCGCGGCCAGTGGGGCAGTCAAGTTGGGGCTCTGGGCAGGCAGCAGCAGGCAGCTGGGGGAGATGGAGTGGAGCTCCCACTGGAAGGAGTTGTGGGCGGAGAGGAAGGGGCTCTCCAGAGGCGGCCGGTTGAAGAAAAAGGGATGAAGTCCAGGAGAGTGTATGAAGCCTTTATAAGGGAGAAAAAGGCCAAGTCAACAGAGGGACGCCCCAGCCGTTCCCTGTTCCCCACTACTTACGATGCTCCCAGGGCTGGATGGATCCAACTTGCCCTGTCCTCATCTACAAAGTGGTCACAGAAAAAACCCTTGCTTCCTGGGGTTTGAGGAGGATCAGATGAGGTCAGGAGCCCGAAAACAGGCTTTTGCCTCATTAATAGCACCATACAAATGCTATTTTTTATTATTACTTTCTTTATATATTACTCTTCAAACAAGCTACTCTTCAAAGAGTAATTTTTATTTTTACTCTAATTTAGAGAAAATAAATGAATGTTTATGGGGCATTTATTCTTCGATGAGCCCTTAATGAACATTTCAGATGTCTTTTCCATCAAATAAGCACCGGTCTAGGAGGTCGAGCCCAGCACCAGCCACATTTAAAAGGTAGGGAACCTAAGGTCACACAATAGGTTTACATGTGGCCAACCCAAGGGCCAGGCCCAGCCAGGGTGGGTCCCAATATCCTGCTCATATGCATCAGGTTCTACAGTTTCCATGGAGACTAAGATGGAGCGAGGAAGAATGGTGTCTACACCCGCAGAGAGGTCAGAGGTGAATCCTTTAAACTTGGGACCGAGACTTCTTGGGTTGGATCCTGGTTCTGCCCAGGGGCCGGCTTCTTCATTAGGTGCAGTTCTGGGCTCCACAATACTTTTAGGGGCCTATGGAAATGTTTTATTTTCTTTTAAAATCAGAATTTAAAAATGAATTTCTAAGTTGGAGAATATGATTCGCTATATAATCTTAATATATTTGCATTTATACCAATGGTATCATTAATATTTTTTATGGAGAAAGGAGCCCATGCAAGTCAACATGCCTAGAACACACAAAAGTCACAGCGTGGTGCTGGTTCTGCCACTTACAGGTTGGACGAATTCGAGTAAGTTCCCTAACTCCTCTGAGCCTTGGTGTTTTCATCGGTAAAATGGCGAAGATAGCAATTCCTATCTGACAGGATCACAATTAAATGGGCTATCTTATTTCATCAGTTCTGGGATTCACATTTTTTTTTTTGTTTCCATTTGAGCATCTTTGAGATCAAGATACGTCTTCCATTCAAGAGGACTCATAACTACTTTTAGACGTCCTGCCAATGTATGCGTTCTGAGAGGGTCAGAGGGAGTCAGCATCAAAACTGTGGAGTGGGGGTCTGCGGCTTGGAAGAAAATACTGGAAATGATAGAGGAATATCATCGGTGCTCTCGAAGGCACAGATACCGACAACTTGTCCAGACTCAGAAAAATCAAGCTTGAATGGAAGGATTTTTTTAGGAAAACCCTCATAAAATTACTTCATTATTTTTCTTGTTATCTATACATAAGAAGGTATGTTAAAATAAATCTATGTTAAATAATAAGTGAACCATTTTGTGTAAAAACAATTAAAATTCTAAATGATAAGAAGGCATTGTGTCATGATTTAATGAGCAGCATTTTCTTTCCTAATGATTCGTGAAATGATGGGGTAACTTACAATCAATAGCTTTTTAGATTTGATGAAATACAGTAAATTGGGTAAGTCTTAGGACATTGCCTGACACTTTTCTTTACTGTGGCCTACGGTAAAAAATGCATTTTACAGCACCTTCCAAGCACAGATTGTGTATTAAGATTGAAGAAAAATTTCAGAAAACAATACATACCCTGATGTACCTATAATATACTCTAATATATTTCTAATCTATTCTACTTTATTAAAAAAAATGACCATGACCTCTTAAATTGATTTCATACAGTTTGAAAAATATTTTCCTAGTAGTAAATAAGTACTCAATAAATATTAGCTATTAATATTACTAGCTCAGGGTATGACACTTCGGTATGTTTTATGCAATGGACTTTTATGTGAGATCTCACCATTAAATTTAAAAAATAAAAAGACTTGTGGCCAAAGAAAAGGCTGAAAACCTCAAAGCTCCAAGAGATAGTAAATATAGCCAAGAGTAAATACATAGTAATATATTGTATATAACTCTTACAAAAGCAAATATTTTAGGCTTTGCTGGCCATAATGTTCCCATTGCCACAACTCAACTTCGCCTTTGGAGAGCAGCCACGGGCAATCCATAAATAAATGGCGTGGCTGTGCTCCAATAAAATTTAATTTACAAAAACAGAAAACTGGCAGGATTTGATCCATGGGCTAAAGTTGGTGGACTTCCTGAGCCTTCCTCTCGTCCGATACACATGGATGTGAGCTATTAATAATGGCCAGTATTTATTAAACATCTCCTATGTGGCATGGGGCTTCCTAGGTACTTCCAGAGTATCACATTTTAAGACCCATGGTAACCTTGTAGGAGAAGGAGGATTGACCCAATTTGTACAAGTGAGAGAAAGCTGGCTAGGACATGTTGCCACAGGTAGGTAGGACATACCTTGTGTGTGTGTGGGGGGGGCGGTGGATTATTTTAATGTCTTTGGGTATCGGTATTACTTTTACCTACAGCAGAGGATGAAAACAGAACCCACTGCATCAAGCCATGGTGGGAATTGAAAGGGTTCATCTGCGGATGCTTCAGAGTCCTCTAGCCTATCCCAGGCTAGGACTTGAAGGTAAGTAAAATTGCAAGCCAAGGATTTCACAAACCTTATCCCTTCCCTCCAGGAAATAACTCTATGCCCATCACCGCACTTACATCATATTTGACTGCGAGCGTAATGGGCACAGCGGGCAGCTTCTGAGCCCAGTCCACAGCCGCCTGTGCCAGGATGAAGACCACGTAGTCTGTGACCACCGTCAAGGCTGTGGCCATCAGGAGCAGGGTAAGCAGCCCCAACCTGAGGAGACAGCGCAGAAGCTCCCCCTGTGACAGCCTTGGACAAGCGGCCCGAAGCAGCCAGACCGGTGGGGAGGCCAGCAGGTGTGTGGCCCGGGCCTCCTTCAGCTGTTGAACTAACTGCTGTGTAGCATAGATATTGTCAAACTGCAGGTCAGTCAGGTAGCGGTAGAGGTACCAGGCCGAGTCCACCAGGAGGCCCAGCATAAGGAGCCCTGTGATCACCTGCTGGGTCACCAGCACTACTGTGCGGGCCTGGGACTCCAGACCAGAGAAGTCTTCCCGGATCTGTTGAGTGATCCTAAGCATGTGAAGTTGGAAGACAGAGCCATTGCCTTGGGCTTGGAGTGTCAGGCCTCGGCCGCCCACTTGGTTGGTAAGACTCAGAGCCCTGGACGCTGTGTCTAGCTGGTGAGTGGTGTTAAGCAGACTCTCCAAAGATCCCTCAGTGACACACCTCAGCACCTGTCCAGCCACGCCTATGTTGGCCAAGACATTGGGCACCACAGTGACAGCCAGGGTGGCAGTAGTCCAGGATAGGAGCAGGCGGCGCCCCTCCTCCGTGCCCAGGGTGGGCATACTGAGTGCAAACAGGCAGCGAGCCGGAGGCACCAGGCCCAGGCCCAGGAAGACCAGGAGGCCGCAGACAGTGGCCACCACGGCTGAGGACCCCAGAGGATAAAGCAGCGAGGACACCAGCCAGTGGTGGGTCAGACCTGCAGCAGTGATAGCTAGGAGACCACACAGGAGGAGCTGGGTCAGCAGCTGGCCACTGTTGGCTGGAACAGGCTGAGAGAAGGCAACCCAGGCAAACTGCAGTGGGGCAAGGGCCTTGCAGAGCCCCAGGTGCCAGAATCTCCACCTGTACACAAAGAAATTGGGGAACTTCTATTAGAAAAGTGGAGGGTTGGGTATCTACCTAATGGCCCTGCCCCACAAACCCATCGGCTACCTACCCCAAACCCACATGACCCAAGATGAACCAATCAGAGCCTTCCCTAGAACTGTTCTCACTGGAGTTGTCAGGGAAGAGCCCGTTTTCCGTGCAGTCCCTGAGGATGTGAGGATGAATGTCTAGGATGCTTGCATCTGTAACTCCAGTTTTGTGAGGGCAACTGGCCCAAGGAAATAGAGGAGTTATGGAGAGAAGCACAGATGAAAAAGAGAGAATCAGAGACAGAGAAAGAGACACTGTTTCACTTGAATTCATAGACTTGGTTGGTTCATTGTGTGACTCTGAACATTCTTTCTGCACGAACCTCAGTGTCTCCTGAGGAGGGAAGGGGAGAGTGAATCAGTTGACCTCTGATGACCTTTTCTACTCTATTTTTCTTATGTCTATTCATTCGACAAATATTTATTAAGCCACCACTATGTGCTAGCCATTGGAAAAACAGGAATGCATAAAGCAGATGAGAATCTTACACGCCTAAAACTTACACTCAAGAGTGACAGCAGAGGAATTGTAAGAAAAAATTGGATTCTAGGTACATTTTGTTGGAAGAGCCAAGATTGACAGACTGATTGGCTGTGGGTGTGAGAGACACAGGGCCGTCAAGGATGGCCATGAGGTTTGGTACCTGAGCAACTGAAAGCACTGAGGTGTTATAGCCGAGATGGAAAACCTGGGGTTGGAGCAGGTTTGCGTGGAGAGCAGGAATTCAGTTGGGTCTTAAATTTGAGATGCCCATTGAGCCATTCAGTGGAGCTATTGCCTATGCGGTTAGAAATATGAATCTGGAATTCAGAAGGGAGATCGGACCAGAGATATACGGTTGAGCGTCGTTGATTTACAGGTGGTATTTATCCTCATGGGGCAGATCAAAGCAGTGTGCCAATGGGGAGGAAAGAGATCCAAGGACTGAGCCCTTGCACTCCAGGGCTAACAGGTTGGAAGACAAGGAGAAACTAGCACAGGAGACAGAGAAACCAGGCAATGTGGTGAATGAGAAGCCAAGTAAAAAAGAAAACAAAACATTTCAAGAAGAAGGGAGTGATTAGGTCAAATGCTGCTGATGGGTCAAGAAAGATGAGAACTGAGCGATGACCGTTGGATTTAGCCACATGGAGGTCACTGCGACCTGGACAAAGGCAGCTTGGTGTGTGGCACGTTGGGCCAAAACCTAACTAGAGTGGGCCCAGGAGAGAGTGAAGGAGAAAAATGTGAGACGCAAATGCAGACAACTGTTTCAAGTCATTTTTTTTTTTTTTTTAAGTAAAGTTGCAGAGAAATGCACCGTAGCTGATGAGGAAAATGGGACGGAATGTTCATTTAAGATGGAAGAAATTCCAGATTTGCAGATGGGAGAGCCAATCAGGATGGGGGACAAAGAGGAGGCTCCCTGGAGTGATCTCCTCTGGTGCGTGGCAGGGGGTGAGACTGAGAGCACAGAAGGTGGGTTGGTCTTAGAAAGGAGCAGGGGCCATTCGTCTTTACTGTCAGGTGGGAAGGCAGGAGAAATGGGTACAGATGGTGGGAATGGACAGGTCAAGTGTGGGCACTTATATAGCAGTCTCATCTGATACACACAGAACACTGCAATGGTGAAGGGTATGACTCCAGATTGGGTTCAAATCTCCACTTCACCATTCACCATCTGTGTGGTCTTCGTCAGGTTTCTTAACCATTTTGTGCCTCAGTTTTCTCATCTGTAAAATGGTGCGATAAAAGTAGTACCTCGTAGGGTCATTTTGTGTTTGGCGTATAGTAAGTATCAGGTCAGCTATTAACTGTCACTAGAACATCCACCAGGCAGGGATTTGGTCTCTTCTGATCATCGATATGTCCTATGTGCCTAGAACAGTGTCTGGCATGTAGTGGGCGTTCCATAAATATTTGTTTATTGTAGCATGTTTGATTGTTTGCTCAGGAATGCAGGAAGTGAAGTCAGCATTGATGATGCAGGAGGTGATGGAAGTTTGAAGATAAAGAAGGTACAAAATAGTCGTCCAGGAAAGTGGGAAAGTAAGTGAATCAGGGAAATGATACACGGCGTGGAAGACCCACTTGAGGTTAGAGATAATAAATTATGCCCTTCCTAGCTCCTGAAGGTATTTTAATTCGAGATTAAACCCCTTCCTACTCTATAATTAGTATTCAGAGTATGGTAGCTCTTAAAATAATAGCTAATATAAACCATACTGAAATGGAAAACCAGTTCTAAGTCACACTGGGTACCAAGGCTTATACTAAGTGTTGTCAATGATAGGATTTTAGCTGCTATTTGTTTTTTATTTATTTGTTAATTTTGGGTTAGACGCTTATATAATTTATGAAGTGATCCCCCCCATTACTCTAACACGTATCTGGCACTACACAAACCATTACAGTGATGTTGACTATATATTCTATAATGTACTCTAAAATAGCTGCCATTTATTGAGTGCTCGCTGTGAGCCAAGCACAACGGCAAGCCCTACGCATGCATTTTTACATTCACTTCTCACAACAGTCTTGTAAACATTATTATTACTCTCACTTCACAGATGGGGAAACAGAGGCTCGAAGCAGTGAAGATCTACCCAAAGTCACACAGCCAGGGAATGGCAGAGCTCAAGACCGAGGCTGCCTGTTTTCTTGCCTGTGACCCCAGTGTCCAAGGTCCCCAGACCTACCCGGTCCTGATGAGGTGCTCAGCTGTCTCCCGGAGGGTCCTCATGCTCCTCGTACAGCAGCGGATCCAGGCAGGTGGTCTTATGCAGTGATGGCAGGTGGAGACAAAGTTGGGGGAACTGTGTCCTCTAGGAATTGGGAGACCTTGTCGTCCCTTCTCTTTTTCTGCCCTTAAATAAACCTTCCTGCTGCCCTGTCCCGCCCAGCCTGGGCCCACCTCCCAGGGGGCTGGACAAACTGCCCCATCCTCTTTGGGTGGGCGGGAGCAGGTGGGAGTCGTGGGAGGAGAGGAGGAGCCTCTTCCAAGTGATATCTCCAATCCTGACAGCAGGAAGTGGAATGAGTCTCACTCCACAGAAGAGGGGACTGAGGCCCAGGGAAGCCATACAGCTCATTGGTGGTGGTGCCGGGACTGGAACTTGGCTTGGCCTCCCCTTTCTCTCCATTTCCACACTTATGTCCCCCAGGAGCAGCCTGACCCGTAACTCTCAGGGGCTGGGGGCCCACAGGAGGCAACTAGACTTCTGCTGAGACTCTTCTCCAACCATCAGTCTTTCTCTCTAGCTCCCTTCCTGTCTTTAGCATGATGTGCACCTGGCTTCAAAGCACAACTCTGTCCCTCCCTAGCTGTGTGACCTTGGGCAGGTGACCTCATCTCACTCAGTCTCAGTTTTTTTCTCTTAAAAGAGTGATTATGATAACAGCTAACATTTACTGAGCACTTGTTATGTATCAGACATGCATCTTGCAGTTTCTATTTAAATTCACTGAATCTTTACATCCAATAGCTCTTTGTGGTAGAGACTTATTGTTTCCATTCTTTAGTTCATAAAACTGAGACCCAGAGAGTTAAGTCTCTTAACCAAGCTACTCAGCTAGTAAGAGGTAGAGCCATGATTTATACCCAACAGTCTTGCTCCAGAGTCTACTGGTCAGCCACTGCACTCTACTGGTGTAGAGGGAAGAACTCACAAGACTCACGATGCCCTTGTGATGCTTCTGGCACTGCAAATAGTAGGCACTCATCAATGTGCATTCCTTATATGCACTTGGCTGCAGTCATTGCCCTACAGATACACTTCCAGGCTGTTCTGAAAGCCACTTCCTGGAAATCTGCCTGGAAATCAGCCATTTCTCCCCCCAGCATCTCTGTGCCCCATCATTGTCAACAGAACTGCCTCCTCCAGGAGGCCTCTCCTGATAACCCAGCTTTCCACCCTGCAGGATGGGCCAGTTAGGGAAGCACACTTAGGCGGTATTTTAAACTCTATGTCATTTTCCTTTATAAGGACATGTTGCCTGGGTCACTTGCCTGTTGGGAGCTGAGCTAACTTGGCGAGCTTTGAGATAAGTGGCACTAAACCATTTTAAACACTCAGTGTTTTCCAAGAAGGGAGTTGTGAGAACTTCATTGTTTTGCAGGATGAGTAATTGGGCTGACCTTGGGTCTTGACTGCTGTTTTCTCATTGCGAGGCTATGAGTAGTGTGTTGTAAATAAACTCGGGGACACAGACACAGCTTGAATCTGTGCTCCCTCCTGCAGTTCTGTCTGTCTGCTTTCTTGTCCTCAGTCCGTGCTCCCCCTTTCAGGTACCCTCAATTACTTCGTCGGCTGGCTCCGACAAGTGGTGCCCGAACAGGGACCTGAACACGGGGAGAACAGCTAGGACGTGCCGCAGAGTAAGGCGTGCGCATGTGGAATCTGAGGGGCCTAAGAGTCCTGTAGGCGGCCAACCGTAAGTACGCAGGAGTATTGTAATATAGAAAAAGAAACAGAAACTTAAAGAAGTAAAAATGGGCCAAGGAAATAGTCGACTGCTTTTTGTACATATGCTTAAAAATATGCTTAGAGTAAGAGGGGCCCAAGTGGGCCAGCAACAATTAACTAAGTTTTTGCAGTTTGTAGAAGAAGTATGTCCCTGGTTTCCGGAAGAAGGGACTGTAGATTTAGAAACCTGGAAAAGGGTAGGACAAAAATTGCAAGATTATTATGATGTTCATGGGCCTGGTAAGGTCCCGGTGGAAACTTTTGGGTTGTGGACCCTAGTCCGAGACTGCTTAGACCCCCAACATGAGAGGTTCAAATGGTGAGAGCATGGCGCCCCCGGT